ATATATATATATATATATATATATATATATATATATATTATCACAGATCGTATTATATACAGTATAAATATTAATGCGGAAGGAAAAAGAGTTGGAGTGTTAACAAACAAATATAAACAGCGAGGAGTAGATAGGCAATGCAAAACAGAGAAGAATGATATAATAAACAAACTGGAAGCACCGCAAGAGACATAAATAATATAAATGTATCTCTTGCATGCGCTTCCTCAACAGGGTATGTGCAGTCCAACACAGCAAAACAAAACAACAAAAGAAACGCAGCCAACTCACAAGGTAGGTAGAAGAAGAGAAGAAAAAAAAACAAAACAAAACAAAACAAAAAAGAAAACATCAATCAGAGGGACTCCATCAGCAGCAAATGCTGTTTCATAAGTTATCAACAAACCCTCTTCTTTGTTTTAATTTTTGCAAAGAGAAGCTCTACTTTGTGCTGTCTCCTTCCAACGACAGCTCGTGTTTCGCCTCCTCTTCTTCGTGCTGCTCTTGCTGCTGCTGCTGCTGCTGCTGCTGCGCCTCCGCAGCAGCAGCACTAACGCTGCTGCAGAAGTCTACCAACGAGCCCCAGAAAGTTTCGTCCTCAAAACAAATACCTAAAAGGCTTTCTAATGCTCCCCCTGCATCGAGTGTCTCTGCAACTCCTCTTCTAATTAATGAAGCGAGAGATATTGCAACAAAACGGCTTAAGACAGAAGCTGCACCTGCCGGAAGCCCGTACACCACACTGCAGCAGAAGCAGCAGCAGCAACAGCAGCAGCAGCAACACAGCAGCAAAACTACGCATGCAGGTACCGCAACAAAACAAACAAAACAAACTAAAACAAAAGCAAAGCAAAGTGGAATAAACCCTAGACAAAAGCATAAAACAAAACAAAATACAACAAAATAAAACAGAACAAAATAAACAAAATAAAGTTAACAAAACAAAATTGAAAAACAAAATAAACAAAGTAAACAAAGCACAGCAAAACTGAAACAAACAAAAGAAACAAAACCAACGCAAACTTAACTTCAGCAGAGAGAATAAGAGAAAACAAACAAAGCAAAAAATAAAAAAATAAATAAATATAAATATAAAAACAAAGAAACAATTTCTTACTTTAGAAACTGCTCTACAGGGGCTACTCGGTATGGCTGAGCGACGGCACTTAGAGCAAAACCCCGCAGTTCTTTCGACTGCAAAATAAAAAGCAAACAAACAAAACACAAATATTAATGTGTGCATGCATCTTATGCATGCATGCATGCATTCTCTGCATGCACGCATGCATTCCCTGCATGGAAGCTGGGGTGTATGTGTTTGTTTGCATGGTCTTGATGGTTATATTATGATGATAGATAAATTTGAATTTTTGTTGATTTACTTTGGGGTCTGAAGGGACAATTGGTGTTCCTTGAACAGAGTCAGTAGCGAAATATAATATCCATGCAGCGAGAGCAATAGAGAGTTTTAAGCAGTTCTTTTTTCTTTCTAAAAGTAATAAAATTGAATTGCGTGTAGTGCTATAAAATTTGCTGCTGCCGTCTTGAGCCACCCGCTGCAACTCGTCTTTCACAAACGCATTTCCAAAACGTTCTACTATCCTCTCCTTGTACCTAAGCAACAAATCAATAAATACATAAGAAATATATTGTGTATATATATGTACTTGTATATATATTTGGATATATAAATATAGCTATTTGTATATATATCTGCATAGATAAATATAGCTATATATATACATATATATATATATATATATATGTATATATATACATGCATATACAGAGGTAGCTGTATGAGAAACAATGTGTGCATGCATCAATATATATTGGTGCATGCAAATAGATGCATGAATATAATATATATATGTACATATATATAATGCGTTATACTGATAATGTATTTAAAGGAAATAAAGTATTTGTGGGGTGTCTTATCACCTTTCTACGTCAACTTTGAGGTCTTCTAAGCAGGGCGTTACTTCGTCCATGAAACTTCGTAAGAATCCACTTACTCTGTGAATTGCAATCAACAAAAACTTTATCTTTTCTTTTATTTCTTTGTTTATTCATTCTCTTGCTAGATCGGCTGTTTCCTGCGGTGTGTAGGCTGCGTGCTAGTCAGCTAGCTATCTGTCGAAAGGTAGACAGATAACTATCCAGTTGGTTCTTTAACGAGTAGCTAGCTAACTAGCTAGCCAGATAGCTAACTGTACATTGCTTTTAATGTATAAGCAGCTATGCATGCAGCTCACTGCTAAGCTAGCTACCTGCTCATCTAGCTAGCCGCCTAGCTAGCTAGCTAGGTAGGCGTTAGTAGGTTGGCGTGGAAGGTGAGTCTCACCGCACGTCTCGAAGGGCTTCATCAACAAATCTGTATCCAAGCAAAGTAGCGACGTAAGCCACACAACTATGACCTCCATTTAATAATTTTAATTTCATTTCTTCGTAGCTCTGCACCTCCCGCACCACCAAGCAACCCACAGCTTCAAAGAAAGGTCGCTCGTTGCAGAAGTTGTCCTGAGCAAAACAAGAAAAAGAGAGAAAAACAGAGATGCAATATGCTCTCATTAAGCATGATTATTTTGTAGTACATTAACAAACATATGTATGGTTGAAATGCATTTTCTTTTTATTTTATGTCTTTGTTTCTTTTTGCATTAATTACCCCAATGACCCATTGCTTGAAATCTTCTGCAACAACCGGCCACTTATCACCTATGCCATAATCTTCTTCCAAAAGTGCAATATGTTCTGTGCCTGTGACAGGCGTAATTCTGTCTACCATTGTGCAGGGAAAGCTGAAGAAATACAAACAAAAAAGAAGAAGAGAGAGATAATTGAAAAGAATTGAAGCAAAATGGACTTAGACGAATGCAAATGCTAAACAAGTAATATCAACTTACAAAAATACTGCAAATACAAATACAAGTGTGCACACTAATGTAAATGTGAAAAAAACAAAAATATAAGTATACATATATATATGTACACAAGCATATACATATATATACATAATATATATGTATGTATACTTGTACATTTGTACATATACACATACAAATATGCACATACATATACGTAGAAATATTAAAATAGATACAAATATAAATGCAAATATAAACATAAACATGAGCAAATCCCTGTATCGTTTATTTCCTCTTTTTGCAACGAAATGCGTGGCCATGAATGAAGAACAGAAATTGCAACAGAAAAAAGTGGAATTAAAAGAAGTGAGGAGCAGAAAGGGTGACAGAAGAAAGCAAAAAGTTTGAGGTGTACGTACACCTCAAACTCACCAAACATGTTTGCTGATCCATGTTGCCATTTCCACATCCACTTCGGTTGCAAATTGAATTACCATTTTCTTCAGAAGCTGCAGAAATAATAAAACAACAGAACAACCAAACAAGAAAAGCAATTAAACCATTATTATTATTGTTCCAGTTCATTAATTTAATTATAAATACTTTTAAAACCGTGGCATTGTGTTTGGAAAACACAAAAACGCAAATGCAAGCAAAAGGAAGAACGTACAGAAGCAAAAATACAAAATCATGAATGAAACGAATTAATGAACGAAGAGAGACAAACAAACAAGCACACGAACGAAAAAATAAACAAACATAAATAAATAAATAAAAGGCCAAGGGGAAGCAAGAAGCAAACAAAGAGAAATAAATAAACAATCATAAAAACAAGCGAAACAAACAGAAAGCCGAAGATACGCAAAGGAAGCAAACATTAAATATAAGAGAAGACGAGCAAAAAAGAGAGCAAACAAATGAAAACAAACAAGCAAACAAATAAACAAACAAACAAACAAACATGATAAAAAGAAAGCAAATAATGCAGCAAAGTCTTTATTAATTCACCTTTCCATTGTTTGGAATATTATCACAAGACAAAACAGTAAAAGGTCTTATCTTTGCATCTCGCCGCAGCTTAAGACCCAAATATATTAAACCCAAAGCCGTCTGCGGTGTGCAACTTTCCTGAAGAATAAACAATAATAATTATAAACAAAAATAATGATAATAATTGAACAAAAACCATAATAATAATTGAACACAAACAATAATAAACACCAAAACTATTTTAATGAACAAACAAGAATACTAAAAATAATTCAGCAAAAACAATAGTAATAAGCAAACAAAAATATAATAAAGAAACAAAACAAATAATAATAAACAAGGAGATAAACAACGCAAATTATAGAGAAAGAAGCACAAAACAAGAGGAAAAGAAGACACAAAGAAAGACAAAGACGAACGAAAAATAAAAATTGTTTCAACGCTTGCAAATATCCAAGATGCAAACAGCCCGCGATGGGATAGAGAAGATCCCCCATAGAATTAAGGGTTTAGGGTTTAGGGTTTAGGGCTTATGGTTTAGGGTTTAGGGTTTAGGGTTTAGGGGTATGCCTGATTGCGAATATCTTTGTGTTTCATGGATGCAGAAATCTTCCTCAACAACAGCGAGATGATTTGTTACTTAAGGCTTAGAGTTTATAGTTTATGGCTTAGGGTTTAGGGTTTAGGGTTTAGGGTATTACTTACTTGTTTCCGAATATCTTTGCATTTCATGAGTGCGAGATCTTGTTTAACAGCAGCTAGAGATTTGTCTAGATCTCCATTGGTGGCCATACAATACCCCTTTTCAGTGATAGTTAAAGAAAGAAGCTTCGTGCGAATATCTAATAATAACCCTTTTAAACGCAGAGGTTCCTCAGGAGCATAAACAAAATCCATTAAAGCGCCTATTACGCGCGCCTCGCAAACCCTTTGACTACGAGTTAATACCTGCAAACATCAGTTTTATCAGCAAAGATATTATTAGCAATAGTGTGGCTTTTCATGCATATATACATATATATAGATTAATATATGCACATATCTACGTGTATGCATATATATCTACATGCATATATATATATATATGCACATATATATTTGTCTATGACAATATGAGAATAAATATATAAACATGCAGACAGAAGCAGGAACGCCTACAATAATAGGCAAGCAGCTACAGTGGATCTAAGCATGCACACTTTGTTATTTTGTTTTTTGTTTTTGTGTTATGCATGCAGTAGAGAAAGGAGAATAGGACAGAAGGAAGGAAATGAGGTGTCTGTACAGCAGAAAGAGCCCCTACACAATACGAAGAAGAAGGAAAATTAAACTGCACTTAACCCTAAACCCTAGCTGAAAGTGTTTAGAAATTCCCCAAGCATGTAAACCCTAAACCCTAAACCCTAAACCCTAAACCCTAGCTGACAGTGTATAAAAGGAATTCCCCAAGCCTGTAACCCCTAACCCATGAACCCTAAACCCTAAAGCCTAAACCCTAAACCCTAAACCCTAAACCCTAGCTGACAGTGTATAGGAATTCTTGTTCGTGGAGGACATTAGACATTCTTTTATCTCCCGGTAAAATGCCAATACCACAGACAGCCCAGGGGCCTTTGTGCACTCCTTCAGGGAGATCATCTGCAGCATTCAAACAAGCAAATAACAATTAAAACAAGAAGAATGAATAGATTAATATATGCTAATAAACATATTCAATGCATTTACTCAGAATAACTAAGTTTATATGTTTTAATTAACATAAGCAGGATATTATCTTTAAGCAAAAAAACCATATATGTAAGATTAACGCTTGATATTTTATTAGAAATTTGCATCTCTTTATACTTCTTTTGCTGCTTCTTTTTTGTTTTATTTTTTGGTTTTGTTTGGAGTATCCCCTATCCTTTAATTCTTCTCTACTTCCTTTCTTATTTAACTGTCTTATCTGTCTATTGCTGCACTTTTCATTCTATCGTCCTTCTTTTTTGCCTCTATACACCATGCATGCATGCATGCAAGAATAATTAGTGCTTGCTATTATAAAACGAATTTGCTTCTACTTATATTTCTTAGATGCATGCAGTACAAATACATGTATGCATGTATGCATGTATGCATGCACGAAGGCATGCAAGCGTGCTCTAAAGTGCATGCATACATACTATACCAATGCATGCATGCATGCATGCATACATACATACGATATAAATGCATGGATGCATGGATGGATGGATGAATACTATATAAATGCATGCATAGAAGGATGCATGCATTTAAAAAGGGTTTATACCTGGTAATCCTGCATGCGTTTTAGCGAGGAGTTCATCATAGAAGACGCACTGATGGCTTCTATGAAAACCCCCAACACCCACATGGGCAACCCAACATTGTATAGCGCTGCTTTCTAAGGGATACTGCGGCACTGCTGCTCTTTCTATAAATAAAGATAATAAACAAACAAACAAACACAATTATAAACTATTCAATAAAATAAAATACAATGCAGTAAACAAATAAACAATATCAAAACAATATAATAAACAAAATTAAAACAATATAAAAAACACAATTAAAACAATATAATAAACAAACAAACAAAATTAAAACAATATAATACAATTAAAATAAAAAACAATGCAATAAACAAGCAAGCAAAAAACAAAATAAAAAACAAAATAATAAGCAAAATTAGAGCGGTGCAATAAGCAAAGTAATACAATAAACAAACAAACAAGCAAACAAACAAGCAAACAAACAAACAAAGTAAAAAGGAGATAATGCATCAAATGTAAAAATATAATAATGATGGAGTTTACTACGCAAATGGCTTCCAAGACTAACCAAAAAAAACAGCACAAACAAACAAAGACAGTAAACGTGCATGCACAAGTGTGCGTCCTAAACAAATAAATAAATAAATATATATATATATATATATATGCATTCGTACGTACATACATTGTATCATCTTTGCATGATATATATATAATAAATATTCATAAAGAGAAAGAAAGGAAGACGCAAAGCCGAGGACACGGCCCCAAGGGGAACGCCGGGTGTACTTTAAACAGGTGGGGGTTTGAGTGCAGCGCAGCAGCAGCAGCAGCAGCAGCACCAGCAACAGCACTAACAGCAACAGCAGCAGCAGCAGCAGCACCAGCAACAGCACTAACAGCAACAGCAGCAGCAGCAGGAGCTCGCAGTGCAGCCTGAGGAGTCTGAGAAGAAGAAAAAAGGAAGAGTGCGACAATGTTGGGGTGTACATACACCGGGTGTATCCTCACCGGAGATTCGATGCAAGAAGTCTCTTCTTAGAGGCAAAACACCATTTGAAAGAAGAGGAGTATGAGGGTTAAAGAAGAAGCGCAGCCATTGGGGTTGCTGCTGCTCTGCTGCTCTCCCTGCTGCATGCATCAGCTGCAGTGCTTCAGCAGCAGCAGATGGAGGGGCAGCCCCAGGCGTCTTTAAAGAACAAACTAAGCTTGAAAGAAACTCTGAACTTTCGTTGGGTTTGCTGCTGTACATCAATATACCCGCGCTCTCTAAGGAAGAACCTCCAACACTCCCTGCAAATATACAATAAAAATAAATTAAATAAATAAATAAATATATATATATATATATTTATGCATATCCATGTATATATATATAAGAATATATATACAAGAATATATATATAGTTATACGACATATATATATACAGACTAATATATTTATAATAAATATAGTAATATAAATATATATACATAATATATATATATATATATATGTAAGGTACTGCTGTTGAACGCAAACATAAAGAACTAAAAACATCGTCAAAGAAAACGAATGAGGGAGCCAAACGAACAAATCGCGGAAATAAACAAAAAGGTAAATGCAAAAACTGCATGCAAAAACTGCATGCATAAACTGCATGCAAACACAATGCATGCATAAACAAAGAAAGAGACAGAAATAAAACAAAGAGAAAACCCAGCAAAAGAATTACAATCGAACACAAGGTCTAGAAGCAATCACAAACAAAAACAAAAGCATAAACACAAACAAAAACAAAAAAAACAAAGAAGGAAGTAATGGAGGCGACTCACAGTCTGCAATGCCGTTTGTAGAAGACTGCACACAACACCAGACAGCGCAACAAACAAATTAAAAATTAAACAGAAAACAAAAGAAAGCAGACTAAAATACAAAATAAAACAAAGTAGAGAATCGCAGCAAAAGCACAGCATCCCCCTGCCTTGATAAGGAAAAATATATCTATACATACATGTATGCATATATATATATAATTATATATCTGTATATAATTATATACATATATATTATATATATGGCGGTGCATGCAGCATGTGCTTCGCCGCATTCTATTGGGAGATATTTAAAAACTAAACGGCTTTGTTGTGCTGTTAAAAGAAAGAAAAACAAACAAAACTACCTGCTGAGTTAGATAAGGAGCTTCTTCCTGTGTAAATACATCATGCACATCACCGCGAGCTCCGTGGGCCTGGTGACGACGCCAGTTGTGATAGCCTTCAAACAAAGCCCCAAAAATATGCATGCAAAGAGTGCATGCAAGCAGTGCATGCAAACAGTGCATGCAAATCAAGTCCCCCAAAATGTGCATGCAAACAGTGCATGCAAGCAGTGCATGCAGACAACACAAAATATGGAAACGCAGCAACAAAACGAACATATGCATGCATCAAAACATACACAGGTATCATGTTTGTGTTTGCTGCCGCTCGGTTAAAGGGTCTATATTTGTTTGTATTATTATCATTACTATAATAACAATTATTTGCTATAATGATTATTAATTATGACTATTATTTATTATTACTTATTATTCGTTAGCATTTTTTTTGTTATCATTTATTTTACCCTTGCGAAACTCATGTGCCCTAGCTCTCATCGCTCTCAGCGCCTCATAGCCGTGTAGAACTCCTGGAGGTGCTGCCCTTGGGTCTCCACCATCTGTTTTATTGAATGCTGCTGCTGCTGCTGCTGCTGCTGTTGTTGCTGCTGCTTCTTCCCTGCACCCCATAGTTGCTGAGAGCGCACGAGGCAGCATCAAGTTCAGCGCCTCCAGCTGAGACTCTGCAGCATTATCATGAACACCAGCAGAAGCAACAGCAGCAACAGCTGCTGCTACCGCTGTAACTCTTTCTAAAGACTGCGGATTCCTATGTTCGCAAGCTGAAGGCTGCTGACAGCACCACGGCTGCAGCTTTCTATGGCCCCCGGGGCCCTCAAGAAGGCCCACCATAGTTAAAATATACCTCTATAGGGAGAAGAAAGTAAATAAAGAAGAAAAACAATAATTTTATCAACCAAACAAAATAAATAGAAACGTACTCCACAGGTTTCCCTACAAACCAACCAACGCGGCGTTCTGCGTTTAGCCGCCGTCTTTATGAAGAGAATGCAGCCTTAATTGTTTTATTCTTCTTTTTAAATAGAGTTACAGAGGATAAAATAAATAAATTAGGAGGTTCCAATTATGCCAGCAAGATCAATGAACAGAACAGGCAGTGACCACCTAAACCACTCTCCCGCAGAGGTGTTTGCAAGAAACTCAAGTTTAATTCTCTTCAAACATGTCTTTTTCTGCCGCTATATTTTGAGTTGTAGAAATATATATTCATAGAATTAGAAGAAGACTCTCATTTTGTGGCTGGTTCTCCAGAATTATCGAAGTTGAACAGCACTGACATGCATTCACTATGAAGACAGGATGAGATCGGCCCGCGACCGCGTAGAAAGCTCCGGAAATACACCTTTAGTAATTATTCATAACGTAAAACAAACAAAACCAAGAAAAATAAATCATTATACACCCAGAAGCTCCTTCATTGACTTTCTGCAAAGACGTCTGCAATGCCGCTTCCGCAGGTGAGTGTTGCACATAGATCTGCTGGTGGGTGTTGGTAGATTGCTATGGCGCACCAAAATAAAGAATAAATATATTTTTTGTTCAATTTTTAACATGTTAATTCAACTTTACCGCAGTTTTTATTTCAAAACTTATCATTCAAAGCCCTAATATTACGAGTGCAGCACCGCAGCTACTCTGTGTGCGGTCACCATCCTGCAACGAAAATCGTCTAGAGATTTCCCTTGTTGGTTAAGTTGAGTAGAAGATAGAGAATTAAATAAACAAAAGTTTATTCAAAATAAATAAATATATTTTTAAAAGTAGTAGGGTTTTATTTTAGGGATTAAACAAAAGAATGAAGTCTTGCAGGCAATGCAGAATGTGCTGCTATGCACAGCATCGATGCTGCGTGTCTGTAAGTAAATAAACCCTTTGGGGCTCTTGCAGCTTACATATATATTTACATTTATTTATAATTATATATAAATAGTATATAAATTAATTATATTTAGTGATGCTTATTTGAGTTACGGAGTATCGTGTGCTGACAACATAATATAGACACATATAATATAGACAACACTAGGCACACACCGTAGAAGACAACTTCAGCTTAAACCCTAAACCCTTATAATACTGCGTTCACACTACTTTTAATAATAATAAAAATTATTAATAATTATTAATATAATAATAATGCTTATCAATAATAGTACACATTTTTTTAAATGCCTATTCTTGCCGAAAATCGTCTCTCTAAGGTACTTTACAATAATAAAAAAATTAAAATAATAAAATAAAGCGTTTAATAATAACAATAATAACAATAATAAACATTTCATTGAATTCTGCATATACATATGTGCATATATATATTTCATTTGAGCACTCAGTATGAACGAGTAACTATGTTATTAGTATGTTGTTATTATTGTCATTGTTATTGTTACTATATTATTACCATTATCATTATTTACATTATTATTGTAATGGTCACTAATTACTATTATATTACTATTATTATTATATTATTATTATTATTATTATATTACTATTATTATTATTATACGGTATTTATATCTTTACCCTTCGTACAGCAAAAATTACAGCAGGAGATGCCGCTACCTATTGCAGATTATTTTTTTCTACGATCATCGTCAGTAGCTACGCTTGCGTCTAAACCCTAGACCCTAAACCCTAAACCCTAAACCCTAAGCCCCAAATCCTAGGAAAGGAGAACTAGCGGCAGCGATGCCGGGGAGTGCAGACAACACGCCCCTTGCGCTGCCCGAGGTGTCTAGACAGCTGGAGAGCAGCAGAAGAAGAGGCTCCTCATCTGTTTAGCGGAATATCAGCAGACAGAGGCGCCGATGCAGCAGCAGCAGCAGCAGGAGCAGCAGCAGCAGCTGCAGCATGTTCCGCTGGCGCTGTGTCTGACAGCAGCAGCAGCACCAAACGAGCGGGACAGTACATTAGCTCTGCTCCTGCAGCACTGCATGCAATAACTGCTAACACCAGAAGGCTACCAGCCCCCCATAGAGGTGCAGCAGAGCGCAGCTTGCCGATAGCTAAAAACCCTAAAGCAGAGACATATACATAACCCCATCCACCGTAGCAATGCAGCACTGCAGCAACAAACCGCCGCACTATACTCGGCAGCAGCAGCAGCAAAGGTTGCAGCACCAACGGCAGCACCTGAGTGTACACCGCGTACACAAACGAACCGTTGCAGTGTAAATCAAATGCATATGCAAAGTCAAACGGGGGAACGCCGCTGCTCCCTGCTGTCCTCTCAGCTGTAGGTATACCGCTGCTGCTGCTGCTGCTGTCGTTGTTCGGTAGAACGCCAGCAGTAACAGCACTCCCAACCTCTCGGGTATGACAGAAGAAAGCCAGTGGAATCACCACCAACGCAGACAACACAAATGCACACAGTGGTGCTGCAGCAACTGCTGCGAAAGTTGCTGCTCCTGCTGCTTGCAGCGCTGCTGCATGGCCGATGCCCGTGATGAGCAGCAGCAGCAGCAGCAGCAGCAAAAACGCAGGGTCTTCTCTTGCACACGATTGCTGCTGCTTCTGCCGCAGTGCCGCCAAGCTGTACAGACGGCTCGGGTTCGTCAGCAGCAGTTTACATTGAACTGCACTGTACTGTATGTCCAGCTGCGAAGGGCGGCAGCAGCGCCTGAGGAAGCGACGCCACCTGTTACTTGCATGACTCCTTATATGCAGCGGCAGACATCCGTGGAGGCTCCCCATCCTCTGTCTTTCTCCTGTTTTCTCGTCGTCTTCTGCTCCCCTCAGAGTGCTATTAAGCTGGCTCTCACTGCAAGGAATAGATACTCCATGAGGTGTGATGACAGTAAGAAGGAAGAAGACCGAACGAAAGATACAGATGCTTCATGAAGTAAACTACAGAAAAATTGCCCTTTTGCTGCTCTTCCAATGCATGCGTACTTCTGAAGCTGAAGGCTTCTGGTTCCTCTCGAGTGCAGTGTAGACGTCTGACCTCTGCACGACGCGAGCGAGCAAAAGAACTCCTAAATGGCTTTTCTAGAGATACTTCAGCGCAAAAGAAGAGAGAAAAGAGGGGAAAATGCTGCTTTAAGGCGGCCGCTTGTCATCGTTTCGCTGAGACGAGGCGACGGTCCGGTGGGCGCGCATCCACTGATGGGCGATCTCGAGTGTTCCGAAAGATAAAAAAGAAATTTTCAAGCAAATATGAGAAATAAAAAGAAAGGAAAACTCCTTTTCACGATTGTTATCGCAGCTTTCCGCCCGCAAATACGAAAATACCCGCGTCGGCGGCGCCGTGGCTGCTGGTCCGGTCGGAGGTGTCCAGACAACCGAATGCGTCCGTTGAAGGTTTCGGACGAAGTGAAATCATCACAACAATAAAATGTCGTTTTCTTCTCCTCGATGGCTCAGGCGTTGGCGGGTGATGGAGTCCGGATCTTTCAGGGAGTGCAGGAGAGGAAGAAGAAAGCAGCGAAGAGGAATCTGCCTCTTATCGCTTTCTATTAGAAGCAACAACACAACATCCTTCTTAACTTTTCTTATGATTATGTTCTTATTTTTGTTGTATTTACGAGGATTTAATTGAAACTGTCGGCAGCGGCTGCCGCAGCGCATGCACGCAACTAAGGAGCAGCCAGTACCCCAATCAGTTGCATGCAGGAGGCGAGCACAGAAATTATTTTCCGTTCCTCTGCATGCACAGAACTCAGCAGTAGAAATAGAATTAAAAGAAAAGACAAATGCTGCGCTGTCTGCTAATCTCATTAGTCTTCTTCTGCTCTACAATGCAGTTCCTTATTCGCCGAGATAAACACCAGAGAAAATATCAGCATCGTCAATACTCCCCATCTAATCGTCTTTAAACAACAAAACTACGAAAATCCATACAATGAAATAACAAACAAGATAATCAAAGAACGCAAAAGTCCAGGGATGCATCCACTAGCCGCGTACCTACGCCGATTATATATATATATATATATATATATATGTGACTAGTTGTAAATATATGCAAATAAAAACAAGTGTGAATATATAGTTAGTTGTAAAGGCATGAGTAAATACAAAAAAGTGCGAAAATGTATTTCTGTTGTCAGACTAGCATATATTTTAGTATACACTTTTACACCTAGCCGTGCATATATAGATATATATATATATATATATATCCATGTACACATCTAATTGCGTCTTATGGATATATATAATTGAACAAATGCAAACAAAGAAGGCCGGTCTTCTCGGCGAAAATAGTAAAGAGGCACGGCGCTGATGGTCCTAAGTAGGGGGTGTACGGCTAGAACTGTTTGCCTGCCGCCGCTGCTGCTGTTGCTGCTGCTGCTGTTGCTGGTGCTGCTGTTGCTGCTGCTTCTATTGTTCCTGCTGCCATAGGTACTGTTACAGATGCATTCAACTCCAGTTTATTGAATAATTAGCTAGGACGCGTGGGTTGTTAGCAAAAGAGAAAAAGAAATCCTTTTTTGTTATTACTTCTTTTCTTTATATGCTCTCCTCGTGTTTATTGTGGAGGTGTCGCCTCTGCGGTGTACATTCAGTGTATCTAAATGCACAGCAGCGGCATCTCCTCTGTCTTTTTAAATAACATATTTATTAAACCCAACTAACTGCAGCAGCAGCCCCAGCGAGCTGCTGTACCAGTTTAGAATAAACGACACAAACAAACACCGACAAAAATGCATGCATGCATGCATGCATGCATGAAAGCTTCCCTGTTTCGATGTTGGTTTGCTTGCGTCATTTAAACAGCCAAAGAGACCAATATAGAGACTGAATAACCGGAACAAATTATTTATTTGTTTATTTCTGCTGGGGTGTACAGGCACCTCTTGCCTTGCATGTGTTGCATGCGCATCGTTCTTCGTTGTTTATTGTTCGATTTTTGTAGATCTCCAAGTTCGAATGATGAAGATTTTGTTTTATTGATTGTTATCTTCAATACCAAATGAATTAATCTCTTTCTTTACGCTCGGGCTCAGGCGCTAGCCTTATGAAGTCATCAATACGAAGTATAGTTACTGCGGCTTCAGTAGCAAACTTCAGACTTTTTGTTTTAGAGATGGTTGCTTCCACAATTCCTTTCTCCAGAGAGCTGCAGAGTTTGCCGTTGACGAGATCGAGGCCCTGTAGATCTTTGACTTCTGCTGGTGATGCTGATTTTGCTGCTGCTGCAGCTTCACCACCGCCGCACTGCTGCTTTGCATGCACTGCTCTAAGCCTCGCAACAAGCTCCGATGCATCTAGAGCTGCATTCAGGGCCAGCGTTCGTGGTATTGTTAGAAGGGCCTCTGCAAATGCAGCTACAGCTAGCTGTTCTCTGCTGCCTAGAGTGCGTGCAAAGTCTTCAAGATATACAGATAATGCGGCTTCGACTGCACCCCCACCAGGGCACACAGAAGAAGAGCTCATACATCGGCTGACAGCACATAACGCGTCGTGCAGTGAGCGCTCCACTTCATCTAACATATATTCGTTCGCCCCCTGAATAACAAAATGCAAAAAACATATTTCTATAATAAACACTCATTCACACTCTCGCAAGCTAATAGACAAGCAAACGCACAAGCACACACACCGGCTAAACGCACCGTACATATATATATATATATATACATATATATATATATATATATGTGCATGCATGTATATATACACACATGTATGCAAGTATGGATCGCATGCAAGTAAATGCATATTTCACTTGCAGAGGAGTGTGCGCGTGAAGGTGAAAAAGAAGTAAAAGGCATACTCTTAATATGATTGTGGCTGCCTTTGCTGCTTTGCAGCCAGTAAAGAAAAGGTAATCCCAATCCCCCACGCGTTCTTCAGACACTTGCGCACAAGTGCCCAAAGCAGAAACATCAAAAACTTCGTCGCCCTCCAACGTCGCCATCGTCAAACACACCGTACCTACACCATCAGCACACAGCAACATATATATATATATATATATATATATA